GCGATTAATTCGATTAATTTTGCGTCGTTTTAGATTGTAGACGTTCATCAAATATACATATCTATAATATTCCTTTGATTTTATACATCGATTTCCTATCGCACTATCATAAAAAAAGAAACTAACAAAGAAAAACAATAAAGCTAGAATTATATCTTTAACCCCTTGGCTGTCAACGAGATTTCCACTGTTTGGGCCGAAAGTGTGTTGAAAAATTTTTTAATCTATTTTTATGAAACTTAGTACCCTAAGGTTTCTGGGGTCGCTGATTACGAATCTGACATCAGTTTTTTGAAATTCAAAATGGCGGATCCAAGATGGCGGAAATTTTTTCAAAATTCGTCGAATTTGCTTGAAACTTGTTACTCGGGGGTTTTAAGGGTCGCTGATTACGAATCTAACATTAGTTTTCCAAAATTCAAAATGGCGGATCCAATATGACGGACAACGAAATAAAAAATTGATCAGATTGGCTTGAAATTGAATACTTGGGGATTTTCAGGGTCGCTGATTACGAATCTGAAATCAGTTTTTCAAAATTCAAAATATCTGGTTCAATATGGCGAAAAATTTTTTAAAATTTATTGAACTTGTTTGAAACTGGTTAATCTGACATCAGTATGATAATTTTTGGTGAAATCAAATTTCGATAAATACCCTGAAAAAATAATGACAGATTCGTAATCAGCGATCCTAAAAACCCCCGAGTATTCAGTTTCAAGCCATTATAATTAATTTTTTATTTTGTTGTCCGCCATATTGGATCCGCCATTTTGAATTTTGAAAAACTAATGTTAGATTCGTAATCAGCGACCCTTAAAACCCCCGAGTAAGCGGTTTCAGGAACATTTAAGAAGTTTTAATCACCTTTTTTAAGTTGCGCATATATATGCGACATGAACTACTTTTGGCCAGTTTAGTTTTGCGCATATATGCGTCAGCGACAGTCAACGGGTTAATTGTTTTGTTTTCAGACTAGATATTTCACTTTCATAATTTCATACAATATTTATCTGCGAGAATAAAAGAACATTTTAATGAATTAAACAAACAATGTTTTAGTGGTAATAATAATTTCATTCTGTCCACACTTAAAATTAGGCATTTTCGCGTAGAGTAGAACGGGGCGAGGCATCCAAGACGGCACATTTTGGTTTGCGAAGCAATTATTTGAATAGGTTTTTTCAATTCTAATGACACGTTAAAAAGCTTGTCTTTTTGGCTAAAAAATCGCCATAGAACAATTTGACGTAGGTTGCACTTAAAAATTTCTACAACCGTTTTCCCAAAGGACCACGTTTTTGGCATATTTGCAAAACGCGGGGTGAGGCAGCCAATTGCTTTAATAGTCAATAAACATATCTTAAAGTTAAAATTGGTGAAACATTACAAAGTAGTTGTCCCTAATTTACTTTTTTCTGTCAGTAAACTTTAAAAATTTATATTTGAATAATCCCAATGGGAAAAAAACTATTGGCGCATTAATGGCCCAATAATGGGAGCCACCATTCCATTATTGTCCCATTATTGGCACCCAATAATGGACCACTAATGGTAAAATCGTGGGATGTCCACGCCGATGCCAATAATTGGCAAACCATTATTGGCACATTATTGGCTGCCATTAAAAAATCAATAATAAAAAAAAATTTTATTAAATAATAAATTTATTTATTTAATAATTATTTAATTTATTATTATTATTATTATTATTATTATTATTATTATTATTATTATTATTTTTTTTTTGCTTAGGGACTTTTGGGAAATCTGCCTACAGATACCTTGGATTCCGCACTCCAAGGTTATGTGGGGTTGGTATGATAAAACAAAAGGAAATATAAAAAAAAGAAAAATAAATCTATAAAAAATTAAATTTAATACACTAGCGACCTACTACCAGCCCGACCCACTAAAACCCGTAACCCTTCTTCTGGAGCCCTTTACCCTCCCTCGGAACTGTCGTAAGACTTTAGCCTTCGAGGGTGGCGCTCCAACTCTGTCGCTAATGCGACTTTCTGCTTTTCTCTGCGGTTATCCTGCGTTAATAGTTAAAAATTTAAAACTATTTCACTATAAAGCGGAATTAACAGCACAACAATAATTAAAAATAACAAATGTGTAATTAAGTGTAAAAAGTCAAAAGATAAAATTATAAACGGATATATAAAAAAAGAAAAAATAAACGCGTATAAAAAATTCAAAAAACATAAAACTGTACAAAGATGAATAAAAAACACAAACAATTAAAAAATGTATAAGGACAAATAAATCACAAAATAAATTAATAAAAAACAAACGAACAAAATTAAAAGCTGTTTAAATTACGCTTTTTGGCGGCCGTCGAGATCCTTCCTTGACATAACCGAGATTATGAAGTTCTCGACTTGCCGCCAATTCTCTTCCGACTGGGTCATCAGCGATACCATGTTCTCCGGTGTAACTTGACTGTTTACACCTTCGAACATGGCCCGCCTCTCCAAGTCCCAATTCTTGCATGAGAAGAGGGTGTGCTCCGCGTTGTCCTCAGGGAACTGGCAATATGCACACACCTCGTTCTCGCGTAATTTAAAGCGACACAGGCACGAGTTAAAACACCCGTGACCTGTGAACGCCTGAGTCAAGTAATAGGAAACCTGACCGTGTTTCCTATACATACTTACTACATGATAATTTCTGCAGCGTCGGTAAGTAATTATACAATTACTACATACGTAGTTCGCTCAACGCTCCGCAGGAGGTGTTGTTTCAAACTCTCTCGCAATTAACATGAAACTTGAAAAGTATATAAGGAGGCAGCATTCTCACGAATATTTGTGGAATTTTATTCTGCCCGTCCTCTCCTATTTTTGCACTGATGGCTGTGAGGTAAATAATTTTTAGACTCTGAACGAAAGGGTTATTCACATTTCGATGTGATAGAAAATAATAAACATTTCTATAAAATAAGTAATTAAAAAAATTAATATTTTTAATAATAATAAATCATAATAATAATAATAATAATAATAATAATCCCCGCCGATGGTTGTCCGCTACCGAGCATCATCGATGTCTTTTACTTGCTGGGAGAGGCGGATCCGCTGCCGGGTGTCATTGATTTCTTTGATGTGCTGGGAGAGGTGGATCCGCTGCCGAACATCATTGATTTCTTTGATGGGTTGGGAGACGTGGGTCCACTGCCAGACATGATTGATTTCTTTGATGAGTTGGGAGAGGTGGGGTCGCTGCCAGACACGACTGTCACCTTGGATATGTTCGGTAGACCTTGCCGTGGTGGCGGGGCTTTTCACTAAAGGACAACCAACAGGGTGGTTCCCTGATAAAAAAAACCAAAAATTAATGAAGATGAGTCAAAGTGTAAATGAATTACCCCAAGGAGGAACCCCGCAAGGGGACAATACTCCCGTCGGTCTTTCAAAGACCGTCGCAGGCCCCACGGATTTTGGGGGGGGCCAAAACGAAAATTCTGCGGAGAAGGGACTTAACAGTTTCCAAAAAAATGTTGTAGATCAGGTCGAACTAATGCCTAAAATACTCGAGGGTATGTGGCGGGCCTGCAAAAAGCAGAAAAACATTAGCAAGGACGTCCAGGACGGAATGGTGGCGTTAGGAAAGGTGCACGAAATAATTCGCAGGAACATGCGATTTATCCCCGAGCCCTTCATAATCCCAGAGCCAACAAACGCAAACTGTGTATCACCATCACAGAGACGTGCTGCGGCGAGTCCGAGCGGTGCAACTAATGATAGAAAGCGCCGGAGAAGCGGGAATGGTCCAGAAGCGAGTCCACATCCTGATGGCCAGTCTGAGAAGAGGAAGTGCGAGGAAGTACCTGCGCAAACCCTTCCGTTGAAGCCAGGTAGTGGAGAAAAAGCCGAGAAAGAAGTCAAAAAGACTTACGCTTCAGTTAGCTCAAAGGATGACACAGTGGATGGCGACGGCTTTGCCGCTGTCATCGATAAAAAGGCAAAGGCCAAAAAGAAGGCCTTAAAAAAGAAAGAAGAGAAGGAGCTCCAAAAGTATCCTTCAAAGCCGAGAAATACAGAGGCAGTAAGGATCTCAGCGAAAAACCCAAAGGCTATCGCTGAGATCGTGACTGAAATGAAACGCTCTGTGAGGCCTGAAGAGTCCAATATTGAGGTTCTCAGGATCAGGAGGGCACTCAATAAAGATGTTCTCCTTGTTGTGAGAAAGGGCGGTGACACCTTGAAGTTTGCGGGGGCTTTGGCCTCGGCCTCACATGGTAGGGCTGAGGTTACGGCTCTTGTAAATAAGAGGTGTCTGGAATTGAACGGCCTTGATGAAACTACGACTGAGGAGGATGTAGTTTTAGTTTTGAGGGAGAAATTGGGGAAGCCTGACACGGACATAGTGTGCAGACTTCTGCCACGTTTTAGTGGCACAAAAGTTGCGTTGGTCCGCCTGGCAGAGGCTGATAGTCAGACTCTGCTCAAGATCGGCAAAGTGAGAATAGGATGGCTAAACGTCCAAGTCAGAGAGCATCTGGAAGTTGTGAGATGCCTAAAGTGCCTTACATATGGACACGTGACCCGATCATGCAAAGGCCCCGACAGAACTAAAAACTGTCGGAGATGCGGCGGTGAGGGTCACATGGCAAAGAACTGTTCTGTCGAACAACCTAAGTGCTTAACATGCACATATTTAGGAAAGACAGATATTGTCCATATATCCGGGAAAAGCTCTTGCCCGGTTTACAGGGAATTGCTGCAGAGGCTTAAAAAGGCAAACCCTTAAAGTTTCTGCAGGTCAACCTGCACACCTGCAGGACGGCGCAGGCCCTCCTGATGCAGACGGTCAAGGAAAAAGGGATCGACATCCTGTTCTGCAGCGAGTAACACAGGAAAAACGACCTCGCTCCTTGGTACCAGGATAAATCAGGTAGGGCCGCTGTTCAGGTGTGCAATCCTGAGCTGCGGGTTGCCAGGTATCTGGAGACGAGCAGTGGATTCGTTTGGGTAGAGGTTGCAGGCATACGTATGTACAGCTGCTACTTCTCGCCAAACGATGCACTGACGGACTTTGAAGCTGACATTCGGCAACTCGAGTCGAGCCTTAGAGGATCCAGGTTGGATGTACTCGTCACCGGAGATTTTAATGCTAAGTCGCCGGAGTGGGGCGAGTCAAGGCTCGATAAAAGAGGCAGAGTGATCGGAGAAATGGTCTCCAGGAGCAATTTAACGATTGTGAACCGGGGAAGGACATGGACGTTTAGGAGGGGTGCAATTGGATCGATCATTGATCTTACGATTGCATCATCTCCTCTATTCAGACGCATAAACGAATGGCGAGTCTCTGAGGAGTATACCGCAAGTGACCACCAGTACATCGAGTTTTCAGTCTCAGTGGGAGACACAGGAAATGGTGGAAGACAGGAAGCACCGTGTCGAAAACGCCTCTCCTGGAATGTAAAGAAAATCGATAAGGAGAAATTTGTCCGATCCCTGGAAGAATCCCGCCTCATTGAGGAATTGGGTTGGGTGCAGAGGCCAAATACCATGGATGCAGAGGTACGAGCGGTGAGGAAAACCATCACCGCTGCCTGCGATGAATCTATGCCGCGTCGCAGGTGTACCGCTTAACGTAAAAGCTCGGTGCACTGGTGGTCGGATGCGCTGGCCTCCTTGCGGAAAGCGTGCTTCAAAGCTAGAAGGAATTATACCCGTTCTAAGGGAGATCCTTTGCTAAAGGAAGTATTTAAGGAGGCCAAGAAAAGCCTGAAAAAAGAGATTCGAGCGTCACAACGCCGTTGCTGGAAAGACCTAATTGATGAAGTCGAGAAGGACCCATGGGGTCTGGCTTTTAAAATCGTTACTAAGAAATTAGGAACGAGGCAAAAGACCCCCGGCCTGGACAATCCCGATTGGGTCAGAAGGATTATAAGAGCTCTATTTCCTCCTGCAGAACAGTGGGTTAGGAAGGACTGGAGTACCTGCGAAGTCGGTGAGGAGGAACTCTTCACTCTTACAGAATTGAAAAATGCTGGTAGAAGATTGAAAACAGGCAAGGCGCCTGGAATCGATGGGATAAGTAACGAGATCCTAAAATTGGTTATCGACACTTCACCCCAGATTCTGCTCCGATGTTTCAATCTTTGCCTTGAAGAAGGAGAGTTCTTCCGCGACTGGAAGCGGCAGAGGCTAGTCCTCCTAAGAAAAGGTGAAAAACCTCTGGATAAAGTCTCGTCGTACAGGCCTATTTGCCTGTTAGATACGATGGGTAAACTTCTAGAGGATATGGTTCTGCAGAGAATGCAAACCCATTTGACCGGAGAGAATAGTCTATCCGATTACCAATTTGGTTTCCGCAAAGGCAGGTCCACGGTTGATGCCATTCAGGCAGTTGTGGACATAGCCAAAGCGGGAAAAAACAAATTGGGACCAAAGAAGAAGAAGGGCTTCTGTGCATTGGTGGCTATTGACATACGTAACGCGTTTAACTCCGCACGATGGAAAGATCTCATCCAGTCGATGATGGAGAAGAGAATACCGCCCTACTTGTTGCGGATAATGAATGATTATCTTAGCGACAGGTGGGTAATATATGAGGGGGACAACTGGACTCTGAAGGAAGAGATGCAAAGTGGTGCCCCCCAAGGCTCGAGGGTGGGACCATTCGTGTGGAATGTATCCTATGATAACTTCCTGCGAATGGGTCTACCTGAAGGCGCGGTCATCATCGGCTTTGCAGACGATGCGTTGGTCGTGTGCTCAGCCGAAAGCGAGGAAGCCCTTGGGACATTGGTGAACGAATGTCTGCGGCGAGTTAAAAGCTGGTTGGATGCCAGAGGTCTTCAAATGGCCTTGGAAAAAACCGAAGCTCTGCTCGTCACAGACAGACGTGGTTATAGTTTCCCACGAATCGTGATAGACGAATTCGAGGTCAAGTGGAGTAAACATATTAAGTATTTAGGAGTGGAGCTCGATGGAAGGTTAAACTTCCATTACCATATAGCGACGGCCTTGAATAAGGCGATAAAGTGTGCGTCAGACTTGGCACGACTTATGCCAAACGTTCGCGGACCACGTGAAAGGAAAAGGAGACTGGTGGTTAGTGTTGCCCACGCTAAGCTGTTTTACGCAGCAGCAGCGTGGGCTCCCTCACTTAAAACAAGAAGCAAAACCATTTGCGATAATATGCTGTCTGCGCAGAGATGTGTTACTACCCGTATCGTCTCTGCATATAAGACGGTCTCGACGAGTGCTGTGCAAGTCCTTGCAAGTGTCCCGCCGGCAGATCTTATGGCAAGGGAAAGGGAGGAAGTATTTCTTCTTTTTAAAAGAAGAAATAATCCCGAGTACCCAGAGGAAGAAAGACCTAGCAAGGACCGCATCCGCAAATTAGTACGCGAGAAACAGACTTATCGAGACATGGCAGGACAGATGGGATGGGGAGGAAAAGGGCAGATGGACCTATCGTCTGATTCCAACACTCACCACCTGGATAAACCGAAAGCATGGAGAAGTCTCCTATTATCTGACTCAGGCGCTCACAGGTCACGGGTGTTTTAACTCGTACCTGTGCCGCTTTAAATTACGTGAGGACGAGGTGTGTGCATATTGCCAGTTCCCTGAGGACAACGCGGAGCACACCCTCTTCTCATGCAAGAAATGGGACTTGGAGAGGCAGGCCATGTTCGAAAGTGTAAACAGTCAAGTTACACCGGAGAACATGGTATCGCTGATGACCCAGTCAGAGGAGAATTGGCGGCAAGTCGAGAACTTCATAATCTCGGTTATGTCGAGGAAGGATCTCGACGGCCGCCAAAAAGCGTAATTTAAACAGCTTTTAATTTATTCGTTTGTTTTTTATTTATTTATTTTGTGATTTATTTGTCCTTATACATTGTTTAATTGTTTGTGTTTTTTTTTTTTTTTTTTTTTTTTTTTTTATTCATCTTTGTACAGTTTTATGTTTTCAATTTTTTATACGCGTTTATTTTTTCTTTTTTTTATGTATCCGTTTATAATTTTATCTTCTGACTTTTTACACTAAATTACAAATTTGTTATTTTTAATTATTGTTGTGCTGTTAATTCCGCTTTATATTGAAATAGTTTTAAATTTTTAACTATTAACGCAGGATAACCGCAGAGAAAAGCAGAAAGTCGCATTAGCGACAGAGTTGGAGCGCCACCCTCGAAGGCTGGAGTCTTGCGACAGTTCCGAGGGAGGGTGGTGGGCTCCAGAAGAGGGGTTACGGGTTTTAGTGGGTCGGGCTGGCAGTAGGTCGCCAGTTTATTAAATTTACTATTTTATATATTTATTTTTCAATTTGTTTGTATTTCCTTTTGTTTTATCACGCCAGCCCCACATAGCCTTGGAGTGCGGAGTCCAAGGTATCTGTAGGCAGATTTCCCAAAATTCCCTAAGCAAAAAAAAAAAAAAAAAATAATAATAATAATAATAATAATAATAATAATAATAATAATAATCGGCTGGATAAACGCTCCAATTCGTGAGCATGTTGAAGTAATTAGGTGCCAAAAGTGCCTAGGTTACGGACACAGAACCCTATTCTGCAAAGGCCCCGACAGAAGTAAAAACTGTCGGAGATGCGGCGGAGAGGGACACCTCGCGAAGAGCTGTAACGTTAAGCCGAAGTGCCTTACATGCTTGGACCTGGGAAAGCCAGAAACAAATCATGAGTCCGGAAAGAGAGCCTGCCCGGTTTACTGGGAAGAACTGCAAAAGATTAAAAAGGCAAATCCTTAAAATTTTTGCAGGTTAACCTGCATACAAGTAAGGATGCACAGTTGCTCCTAATGCAAACGGCAAGGGAAAATAAGGTCGATGTCCTGTTCTGCAGTGAGCAGTATCAAGGAAGCGACCTCGCCCCTTGGTATCAGGATAAGGCGAAGAGAGCCGCCATAAAGCTGTGCAACCCAGAATTGCGGGTTGACAAGTTTCTGGAGACGAGCAGTGGGTTCGTGTGGATAGAGGTAGCTAATATACGTATGTATAGCTGCTACTTCTCACCTAACGACCCATTGACAAACTTCGAAGCCAATATCGAAGACCTAGAAGCGAGCCTCACAGAATCCAGGCTGGATGTCATCATCACTGGCGATTTTAACGCAAAGTCGCCAGAGTGGGGTGAGACGAGACTCGACAAGAGAGGAATTCGTATTGGAGAAATGATCTCCAGAAACGACTTATTAGCTGTGAACCGAGGCAATACATGGACTTTTAGACGAGGTTCGATCGGATCAATTATAGATCTAACGATCGCATCGTCTAAACTATTTAGCCGCATAAGCGACTGGCGGGTCTCAGAGGAATATACCGCAAGTGACCACCAGTACATTGAGTTCTCAGTCTCGATGGGAAGCACACGAGGAGAAAAAAGACAGGATGTTCCTAGTCGCAAAACCTCCTCGTGGAATATGAAGAGACTCGACAAGGAAAAGTTCGGCCGGTCCCTAAAGAATCCCTTTTGATTGAGGACTTGGGCTGGGTGAAAAGGCCGAGCAGTCTGGATGGGAAGGTGCGAGCGGTGAGAAACATGATAGTCACCGCTTGCAATGCGTCAATACCACGCAAAGGCGCCATTCCCATAAGAAAATCCTTGCACTGGTGGTCAGAGGAGCTAGCCTCCTTGAGGAAGGAATGCCTCAAAGCAAGAAGGACATATACCCGATCTAAGGGAGATCCCTTGCTAAAAGAGGCTTTCAAGGAGGCAAAAAAGAACCTCAAGAAAGAGATCCGCAAGTCGCGACGCCATAGCTGGAAGGACCTAATCGAGGAAGTCGATAAGGACCCATGGGGTCTGGCTTTTAAAATCGTTACTAAGAAATTAGCGACGAGGCAAAAGACCCCCGGCCTGGACAATCCCGATTGGGTCAGAAAGATAATAAATTCTTTGTTTCCTCCTGCGGAACCATACCTTAGAAGGGACTGGAGTTTTTGCAAAGTCGAAGAGGAAGAACTCTTCACACTTAGTGAACTGCAAAAAGCAGGCAAAAGATTGAAAACAGGCAAGGCGCCTGGAATCGATGGGATAAGTAACGAGATCCTAAAGTTGGTAATCGACACTTCACCCCAGATTCTGCTTCGATGCTTCAATCTTTGCCTTGAGAGAGGAGAGTTCTTCCGCGACTGGAAGCGACAGAGGTTAGTCCTCCTAAGGAAAGGTGAAAAACCTCTAGATAAGGTTTCATCGTACAGGCCTATATGCCTGCTAGATACGATGGGTAAACTTCTAGAGGATATGGTTCTGCAGAGAATGCAAAGCCACTTGACCGAAGAGAATCGTCTATCCGATCACCAATTTGGTTTCCGTAAAGGCAAGTCCACGGTTGATGCCATCCAGGCAGTTGTGGACATAGCCAAAGCAGGAAAAAACAAATTGGGACCTGGGAAAAAGAAGAGCTTCTGCGCGTTGGTAGCAATTGACATACGCAACGCGTTTAATTCCGCAAGATGGAAAGATCTCATCGAGTCGATGGAAAAGAAAAACATGCCGCCCTACTTGTTGCGGATAATGGATAATTATCTTAGCGACAGGTGGGTTATATATGAGGGAGACACCTGCACTCTCAAGGAAGAGATGCAGCGTGGGGCTTCTCAAGGCTCGAGGGTGG